AACATAATAACACTCAAGTACCATATCAATATCGACCTTACACCATTGCCAGATATCGAAGCCCGTTTTAGACACAGATTTGCACACAAAAGGTCTCTTGGAATGAGCTAGCTTTGTTTTCCTAGGTCACGCGTGCAATACCTCCCTGCACGATCTAAAAATATTACAAAACGCCTCGCAATTGCTCTCTATAATTTCTTTTTTGTGTCGAGGTAGTTTGCATAGATCTGCTTCGTGTATATTACGAGATTAATTGCACGCACCGGACGGAAAGAATTCAAAAGCTGATTTCAAAAAGAGGGAAGTTAGTTAAGGGTTTGTTTTAAACATACTGAAAACCTTTATGCGAGTCGGAATTAAAGTGAAAATGTGCATTTCAAATGATAGAGTCATTCACTGAGTTAGCCGACAAACAGTGGAAAGCAAAACGTCTCGATCAACTTATATTGTATAGCAATGAAACTTGAAAGGAATTTTTTTTCATGATTTGATTTCGTATATATATGGCTTTTGTTTCAAAGCAAGTATCACACTATATAATCACAGGTATATAGTCGATGTGACGGCGTAATTTATTTGTCCATATATACGGGTTCAAACTGATAGTTAAAGTTCTAAGGTAACATGTTCACTTGTTAAACAATTCAACCAAATCGTGACAGAATGCTGCGTGTCGTGTGGCTCAGGATTTAACGATTATATCAGAACAAGTAATTCTGAGCGTAAATATTGTTCAGTAGCCAGCGGTCCTATATAAAAATAACCCGGTTTGATGGAAAAAACTCGCACATGAATGCAGACAGGCGCCTTCCGAAAACCGAAATTATTATTATTGCAAAGCATGAAATAAGCTCCGGACCGGAAAACGATTGTGCATGGAATCGATTGATTGCCGAATGGATTGATAAAAACCTCAACACGAAATCTTCAAATAATGTAAAAGAGTAGGACAATATTTGGCTAGAAAATCATTTCGCAATGCATGGCTCTTTGCATGCAAACGGCTTTCGCTGTGATATTCATTTTAATATATGAGCTGCACTGTGATATTGGTGGATGGTGATCACTGACACACTTGAAAAATCTACCGAAAGCAATGCCGCTTAATTGGATATATTAAAGCTCTACATTTTCCTAAACGAAAGTGTCCCTAAGACGATTGAAAATCCGGCCACCAATTCACAGCGCAGTGCCTGCATGAATGATAAAACGACTTATTTTCCAGATGCATTGTTCGTGAAATATTCTTCAGACTTTTGTCGACGAGCTGAACCCCTTTAAGCATGGCGAATTGCAACAATTATTCGGAGATGACAAAGGTTAATATTCATGGCTCAAAGTAAATCGAATATCGACGTTACCATGTTGTGTCGAGTCATTGCCATCCCTGAAATGGTCGGTTCACGGTGTATATAATATTGTTTTGTGTTGACATTGCATGGTTCGTCAAATTGATTGGAAATGTTACGTGTTATTTATGTATAAACAAGAAATGATAAACAAAAAGCCTTAATGGATGGTTAATTCATATTAACAAGAAAAGGAAGTGCGTTTCGTGGCGAGGATTCTGCCTTGTGTTATCAAATAATCTTTACTAATTGCGTTTACATGCTTAGCATAATATATCTCACAGTGACGGCATTGCTTTTTTCGAATTCAATAATGGTACCAGTTTCACACAGAGACAACGACCATTATGAGGGTAATTATTTCCGTAAATAGACTACATCAAGAATACATTAGCGTCAATGTTTTGACACTGTATTTATCGGATTGAGATTCGATTGTCTTTCAAACTGATTCGTAAATTATCATATAATTAGCCTCCTTGAAAAACTGTGATTCTTCAGACGTTTTTTTCTTCTCAAGGCAAAGATCAGTTTGAAATAACAACCCAAAATTATGTCGAATCTACCGAGATTTCGATGTTCGAGAATAATTCGGGTCATTATATTTCACATGCAATTGAATTTGAAAACAAGTTCAACCACGGATTTAACTACAAGCGAGTTTAACTATACGAATCGATTTATACAAGCCAAGAGTATGCACTTCGAGAGCAGATATTCGTTGAACTGCATACATGCGCGTGAACTCAATTCAAAAAAACAATTTATTAAAAGTAGTAAAGACCAATATAATCACAAACGCAGAAATATCTAGAGTACATTTGGGTAAAGTACTCAGTTTGTTTATTTTATATATTAGACGTTTCATTGTGACCTACTCATTTATGACGGCTGTGAGTCACAAACTTTAATTAAATGGTTCGTGGTGCTCTTCATTGACCTGCCTCCTCGCCCCAATTCCCCGCTGACCAGCTGCCCAAATACGGAAGAAATTGTTCTACTCTGAAAAGCAACCTTGTGACAAGTTCCTATGGTGACAACATTGTCATTGGATAATTAGGTCGCATCATATCACGACTGATTAATCTAACTATTGTTTAAAATATACATCAGCCACACATAATCAATATGATTTTTGAAAATGTTCTCAACTGAGATGAATTGAAAACAGCATAAGAAATAAAATTGTTAATGCATAACACTTGAAAAGTATAATAGTTATTTCAATTGTCAATCGGATCTTGAGAGCAAATATGAACGCTTTCAGAAACACTAGTAGAAACTAGTCTTAATTACAAAATGTATATCTATAGCAAAGATTTGATGCATTAAAGCACGAATCAGAACTCGCTATAGCTGAAGGTATTGCGTGTAAAGAATTTCGCACAATTTAAGATGTGCTTTTACGAAGCTTTGTGTCTGCATTTGCCGAGCAAATGCGCTGAAATTTTGCCAAAAAAGCTTTTGTGCTATTGTTCTAGGCACGCGTGAGCAAATATCGTAAAGATATGAATTGGTTGTGTTTTTTATGCAGCGCCCAAGTGCTTAAAATTTGCATCAAATAAGAAGCACTCCTTTTGAAAGAATATATACCTCAAGTTGATCACGTTCATAGCCAAATTCTCGTCATGAAAATTAATGCAAATCTTCAAAAAGAATTCCTATTCAGGAGACCTTCGTCGTCTCTACAGAATATGGGTCTTTAACGATATTTAAATAACCAACCATGCAGTATCGCTCTTTTGTCATTAGTTCAAGCACAAAGTCATTAGCGTGCAAACAAACAAATATAGCTGAAACAATTTTAAATTTGAAACACGAACGTTTCTTAGCAATTAAATGAGAGGTTCAGAGGTTGTTATTGCTAAAAACTATGAAGTAAAAATATCCCCAGATCTTCATAAAGATTATATCCTATAATTATATATATATATATTATATATAATATATATATATATATATAATATATATTAATAATCTATAATATAGCTTGCTGTTCATTTGAAACTCCATCTAACACAAACCTCTTATGCTTGCAATATCATATATATATTTATATATATATATCATATAGTTGTTTTTATATCCAAAAGACTAAAAGATTAAAAAAAACTCTTGCAATATAAGCGATAAACTTATGCACCTATATTCTTCTCAGGAATCACAAAGTTCACCTGAAGCATAGATCTCGAATACAGAATGAAAAAATGTGCATTTAAGACGCTTCCTTTTACACAATAGATCTATTTACTGAAAGTATGAGCTGTTCGTTCGCTCGAAGCCCTTGCATCCCCTAATAAATATGCCTATAGTCCTTGTCACTCTAATATGTCACTTGATAATTCATGTGACACTTCACTTACACACGATGCTAGATCATGCGTTTTGTTGATCAATTCTGACCGCGGCTTTGAAAATAAAAGTAGAAACTATGCTTTGAGAAACTATATGCGCAAATGAGAAACAGAGGGGAAGTGTTTTGAAACATTTCTTAAACAGTCCAGAGATAAATTGCATTGACTTAAAACTATATTGGTAATGACACGTTTCTGTTATATGTTTCAGTTAATCCTTCATCCAAAGTTCCATTAAAAAAGATGATTTATCATGCTATTAATATAATGATCTCACGGAGAGTGCTTTTAAACAAAGTAACATCAAGATAACAATAATGAAAAGTTCTTTCAAGGGCCCTTTCCTCTAGTTAAAGTCTTTCATTCGGTGAGGCAAAATGTAACGTGTTTTAGGAGCAGAATATTTAACAGGACAAGGGCATGTAATCGATGGTTTAAAACAACGTTGCTATCCGCTTTATTCCTATGCGAATAAGGTCGTTTTAAGCAATTATTCTCTTCGTTTACAAACAAATATTGCTTAATGTTTTTTTGGACAGGAAACTCTTGCAGAGGAAATGGGCGACCTGTCTACTTGAGTATTACCAGATCACACACATTTAGTGTATTCACGCACGTCATGCATAGATTGAGAAGTGCATATAGTCTTTGTAACTTGTTAAACCAGAGAAGAAAAACTTGTTTACACAAGTTATATGAATACATTAGTCGTGGAAAAAAAAATTCATACAAAGTTGTGTAAAAAAGTCTTGCAACGTTTTGTCAAAAACAATGAAATTTCATTGCTTGGACAATGTTTCAAGGCTTGGTCTGGGGCCGGTTGTATCAAGCCCGTTTAGCTTAAACGGTGGTTAAGTTCAAAATAGAAAACAAGTCTGCCGTTTTATTCAACAAGCGAACTAAATATTTTTAACCTTAATACAAAGATACTGTTTACAACTACATATTCAGTGCATAATATTCAAGTTCACTCATTCAAGAGAGATGTAAGAGTGTTATTTAATTTTGACTTATCCCTCGTTTAAGCTAAACGGGCTTGATACAACCGGCCCCAGGTTAGGTAAGTAATACACTCATGATTAAAACATTCATGTATTTCATTCATTTACGTAAAACAATAATATATTTTGATTACACGTTTAACCCCTTTTTATATAATATTATAAAGATATAAAAAATAATACGTTACAACCTCTGTTGAAACGTCTTTGTTATATGCTGATAGTAGGTTTAGTAACATGAATTTCCCAAGCAAAAATAATTAAAATTATAAAAATGGAATATATATAAGACGTACCCACACAAATTTCTCACCATTCGTTTGGACGAAATGCTATCAAGAATTTAACCTAAAGCGGAAAATATTGTTTAGAACATATGTTAGGGCATTTGACCTTCGTGTAAACGTGCAAATTAAAACTTAGAAAGCAGGCAAATAACTTTCAAACAAGACATAACGAATTACAAATACAGACAGAGTAACGTTGCAGTGTCCAGAACATCTTATTCTCGTTTGCTTATTTTAACTGCTGTAAACAATATTCAACGAAGAATTGCCCAAACAATTTAGGTATTGTTACAGCTCTTGTCTGAATCGTTTGCTGGGCATTGATTTTCAATTTTGAAATGATTGTAAACAATATCAATGCATTAAAATTATTTTTTCATGAAGGACATTACAGTAAAACTACCATAATGAATCACCGTAATGAAAGGCAACTGCATATTTCAGAAAACCTACCTCGGACAGTTAACTCAAGTTTTCGTTTGACCGTGCCAAATTCGTTTGACGCAACACATTCGTATATGCCAGCATCATCCTTCTGCGCATGTCTGATAACGAGAAACGACGATTTTCCGACGAGGGATCGGATGCGCCCGTTGGTCGTAAGTTGCAAAATTTGGCCACGTTTGTACCAGGTCATCACCCATTTGACGCGCCAGTCGGTAAAGGCGCATTTCAGGCGGACAGTGCCGCCAATGTCGGCCACGTACGAATCGGGTGCGAATTCTATTTTGCCGGCGTGGATTTCTGCAGATAGACATGAAGTGATTAAACAAAGTTCTACGACAAGAAACTAATACAAATAAATGAAATAGAAATTTAATGAACCATTCAATAGACTCCCACCCAAATAACGACCACCAATCCAAAACATGCTGAGTTTGGGCAACTTCTTCCGCGCCCCAGTGTTAATTACGAGTAGAACAGAAATTGTATATTAACCTGTTCCGTTAACTCTTAAGAATGCACTTCTAATACCCTGTCCAACATGATTTGAAATCACACACGTGTACATTCCCTCGTCTTCTTTTGTAACATTATTCAAATAAACTTTCCCCCCGTATTTTCCGTCCTTTTTGTCGACCTCAAACGCTTTATAATGTCGATGATTAATTAATGTATAATACGACGAATTGGCGGTGGGTATTCCGTCGAATTTCAACTCCGGGTAACTAGGAGGCAGTTTCTTCCAGTGAAGCCAACGATAGTCAGTCAACATTGGACCAAAGAGCTCTATACACTGAAATGTCACGTTGTCGCCAACACGGGCAGTTTTGTTGACTGGGAAACGACTGGACAACACTGGACGTATTGGTCCCTTTTCTATAAAAAAACACACAACATTTTTGCGAGGACGGGGGGTGCGAAAATGTAGTAACTCATTGGGTAAGGACTCGCTATAAAGTCTCAACATTATGAAAGCAGATTAAATTAACAACATTATTTAGTTCACACTCCATTAAATCTACCCACCTATTACGGCCAGTCTGATTTCACATGATATATTCCCTAGTCTATTTGACACGATACATTTGTACACGCCATTGTCGGATGGAACGGCTGTTTTGATCCTCAGATACCACTTTGTACCGTTAAACCTTTGGCGAAATAATTTAGAAACAAAAAATCAAACACCAAACAACGACTGTTATTTCATTCTTCACTTGACTCGAAAATTGATTATTGAAAATTTTGCTCCACCTATAAGTAATATGCGATGATCACCTAAGTTGTTTCTATAAAAGTGACAGAGGAAGGAATCACCTTTGTAATTATACTAAAACAACTTTACTCAGCGATGTCTATCTCGCCTTCGGCGAAGCGAATAATTATTAAATATACGAATATGATAGTCTTTCGTCTCATAAGGTGTCCACTGCCAATTTTAAAGCTCAACCGAGTCTTATCTTTCTCTAAAATGAATACCATATTTAGGAAAACTTATAAATCCAGGACATACTTTGGATCCAAGCGGCGATATGTTACGATTTTACCGTCCTTCAGCCACTGATATTTCAAGGGAGGTTCTCCGTCAGCCGCACAGCGCAATTTCAGATCATTCGACGCTGGCCAGGCGATGTACTGTTTCGGTGGCATCAGCTTTTGAACCACGGTGGACCTACGCGAGGGAAGGTCTGATAAACTTGCACGCTTTTGAATAATATCAATGCTAGTTAATAATCAAATAAGTCAGGAATTTGCTTTATAATTGTTCGAGAAAGTGAAGATAGACAGAAGCAAACATGTATAAATTCATGCTAACAATTCATAGCAGTCGCAGCTAGATGATAAATCGCATCACTTATAATTTTGAGAAAGGTCTTCGTATAAAGTGATCTTGGTTACAGCATTCTGTGTATAGCATATTTCGTTTCAAAAATACAATAAATAATATTAGTCATCTGTCTTCATGATAAATTTAACTGCAACAGTCTGCATAAAATTTAAAATGAAGTCAATTTATTCTTTCCTTCACAATCACTTAGTTGCTCGTTTGCTAACCCCAGTACTAACCTTGTCCAGGTAAACCACGCGGTTTTAATTGACCTAAAAATATTCAATGATGGAGTATGAAACGAATATTGAACATCATATGAGTTCAGCATGTCTTATGGGGCAACGCAGCTATATACTGGAAAAATTGGTCTGTGCACTATCCGTGTCAACTTTCTCAGTGAAAGGAAACATCCTGACAGCATCTACAAGTACCATACAACCACACAACTCACCATATAACCATACAACTCACCATACAACTCACCATACAACCATACAACTCACCATACAACTCACCATACAACTCACCATATAATCATACAACTCTCAATTCAACCATACAACTCACCATACAACTCACCATACAACTCACCATACAACTCTCGATACAACCATTCAACTCTCAATACAACCATACAACTCTTAATACAACCATAAAACTCTCAATACAACCATAAAACTCATCATACCACTCACCATGCATACAACCATACAACTCACAATACAACCATACAACTCACAATACGACCATACGGCTCACAATACAACCATCAACTCTCAATACAACCATTCAACTCACTATACAACCTTCAATGCACGCATACTTATCATACAACCACACAACTCACCATACAACCATAAAAATCACCATACAACTCACTTGTGACTGTTAAACTCAGTTGTTTACTTTCTGTGCCATATTTGTTTCTAGCCACACACTGGTACATTCCGGCGTCGCGGTTTCGTACGTTACGGATTCTCAAAATGCTCGTCATTCCATTACGCATTCTGAACCTCGGCCTTCCTCGAACCCGAACAACTGCGCCGTCTTTGTACCACGTCATTTTCCAACCGTTCTCCCAGCGGTTGAAATTGCATTTTAAACGAATTTTTTCCCCAACTTTCGCCAAGTAAGTAGCAGTCGATTTGTCAACTAACGTCGGTTTTCCTCCTGAAGTATAAAGGGAATTCCTAGCTGGTTAAATGAAATTCGTTATCAATCCGGATTGAATTAACTGTTTAATGTATTTTCAAGATGTTTGTTCCTGTCAAAATTTGTCTTATTAAGCTTTTGAACAGTACTGGTTTTTTGATAATTCTCTTTGCTTTTACGGTTATAACACTTAATGGACCGCTATTAATACGAACTTTTACATATATGGAGTACAGTTTCACAGAGAAAGCCGAGGATTGTTTGTTCATATACTAGATTACACTACAGATTAATTGATATAAGATGCTTACTAAAAATAATTCAAGTCCGTGCAGTGCCTTCGGGAAATTCTCATTTAGTTTGTTTCCCGTACAGATTTTACCAGTGTAAATAAACCATAAAGTGGATTACCTGATGATTCAACTTCCAGGAAGAACAAACCGCAAAGAATGAAACAAAATTTGACAAGCATCTTGACACTTATCTAAGCCTCGTCTGAAGCGAAATCTAAAATTACCAGATTAAATAAATTACAACCTGACGCAGAGATTTAAACCCTTAGCCACTTTATTTTTTGAGAATCTGAATACGCAAGCTGCATGTCTTGTTTCGTTATAATATCTGAAGCATTGCTAGCATTTAAGAAATATTTGGACATTATCCTAACTTATATTTCAATAATCATCATGAGAATTATACTGCGTATTTTGAATTGAAAATCCCAAATCTAGCTAGTATTTCCTCTAAGTAATGAAAATTGTTTGATTGAAAGAAGCTATTTTGAATTAAACGGGAGTACTTATTTTTGGCACACCCGATATTATACATTGAAATGTTTCAAATGAGACTTTTTTATATTTATGAAGGTCTGTCTTACCCTATATATCCAGTTAAAGACGTTTCACTGCTTAATTTGAAGTCGTCAAATGCAACAGGTATATCAAAGTGCTTTCCACCAAAGCGATTCGTATTGTGATGAAAGAATGCTACGCTGGCCCTGGTATATACGTATAAATCAATCCTTTCAGGAAGAAGGCTGGTTGTTGTTGTAGTTGCAATCTTCACTCCAGGTGAAATTTGATATTTAATTACTTCAATATGCTGTGTATTATGCAATCTCTGAACGACTAAGAAAGGTACCGCTTACGGAAACAAAAGTCAAGTAAAACAACTCCAACTTATTCTGCGATGCATATAGCAAATATATTTCGATAGCAACTATTTCAATATTTCTTGCCTCGCTTTTATAATTAATCCTAACGGACCCGTCATTATTTACAGCCGAAATGGAAGCTCAAGAGAAAATAGCATAGGAAGCAAGAAAACAGAAATAAAAAAAAATTGAATACACTTGGTTGGTCGGGATAAAAAAGTGGGTAAAAATAACTTTCCGCCATTTTGTTTATTTTGACAAAATTATTAATTGTTTACTACAGTACAATTAATGAAAATAATTGTACTTCTCTCGACCAATCAGCATCCAGTAAGTTTTCTTACTATGATGAAATTATATGAAATTTACATCTTGACATTATATCATTTAAAATCTAATACAAAGTTATAAAAAACTCAATCTTCAAAATTTGTCAAAAACAATAAAAATAGTATGCAAAACAATTATATATTTCGATTACATAAAAAACTACAAATATAATTATCAAATCACCTTTTCATAAAAAGTTTTAAAGAACAGTACGTTGCGACATCCGTAGGTGACAATATTCACCAACAAAATCATTAAAATAACAAATTGAATGAAAGACGTACCCAAATAAATTCCTTACCATTCACTCGGACAAAACGCTGTCAAAAATTTTAACCTGAGGTGGAAAAGAGTGCACAAGACACAAATAAGTAAATTTTGAATGCAGATAATTTGTTCAAGCCTTAAAGTTAAGGCCATGCGAATAACTAATTAAACAGGACATATAAAATACCATGCAAGTATACCAGCTGACATTTCGTTGTATGGTACACAACATCTTTTCCCTTAAGTTTTTTTTGTTCTCAAGATGTTGTAAAAAATACACTATTTAGCTAATAAATCCTAGGTTTTGTTGTTGGTCTTGTTTAAAAATCTTTTGCCAGGCATTGACCAGTTTGATGTTATTTTTGAAATGGTGGTCTTAAGATTTGCCACAAATAAATTCATGGATCCCCTAACAGGATTTTCACGAGAGAAAACTATATTAATAAATGCCATTTTTAGGGAGAAGGTTCTTCATGAAAGGCAACTGAATACTTCAGAAAACCTACCTCGGACAGTTAACTCGAGTTCTCGTTTGACCGTGCCAAATTCGTTTGACGCAACACATTCGTAAATACCAGTGTCATTTTTCTGCGCATGCTCAATAACCAGAAACGACGATTTTCCGACGACAGATTGGATGCGCCCGTTTGTCGGAAGTTGCAAAATTTCGCCATGTTTTTGCCAGGTCATTGTCCATTCAACGCGCCAGTCTGTGAAAGCGCACTTCAAGCGCACCGTACCACCAATGTCGGCAACGTACGAATCGGGTGCAAATCTTGGTTTTCCCGCTTCGATTTCTGCAGATAGAAATAAAGAGGTTAAAAAGGATAAACTAGGATTCATTTTTCTGCGACAGAAAAGTACTTTCTTGCTTGCAACCCCATTTCGGTCAATTGATCAATTAATAAATCAACTTTACTGGCAAACAAAGTATCACATTTAATGCATTACTGTACTTTTCTTAATGTGAAAGTCACGTTATCGACGCCATGTTGGATGATCAGTTTCACAAAGAAATTTAGCAGTTAAATTCTAATCCCCATGTCCTTTGAATTCCTGGGACTAGTAACACTCGCGCCACATATAATCAAGGTAACGTTTTGAGCTCAAGATCCTTATTCCCTTTAGCAGTCTTAAAAGCAATCTATCCTATCCTAAACTAAAGAACTTGTTGAATTGCCCATCCTCAAATTAATTTAAATTGCGTCGTTCAAGCATATATTGAATTGGGTTTTTCGCATGTATGTGTTACTTGCCTTCTGGAGTAAATCGCCTGGGCAGCACTTTCAACCAAACAGTCTCCTTGCTCCATCCCCTAACATCCCCTGCTATACAATAATACTGCCTTTCATCCTCACGCGACACGTTCGAAAGTAGCAGTTTCGCGCAGTGCCATCGCGATCTTTCGTCTTCGCAAATGTAATCGTCTCGCTCCAGTCCGGAAGGTAAAACTTCAATCGAGTTGTTCTTTTTTGGATTCTTCACTATCCATTGAAAATGAGGCAAAGCGTCGCTGAATCCTCTACAAGTGAGCGTCACATTGTCTCCTTCGTACGCAGTTATATTTTCCATTTTTTGCAACACTGGTTTTGTGAGTATTATTTCTAGTGGGAAAACTTTAAAAAAATATCACACGTTAATATCACACACGTTAAGATCACCGATTAATTGTGCTGGAAATGAAAATGAAAATATACCACTTTGAGCTGAAAATCCTTATTCCCATAACGAGTTTTAAAAGCAATTTATCCAATCATAAAGAATTTGTTTAACTGCTCATTTTCAAATTAATTCGAAACACTTAGTCTAAGAATTAGGAGGTGGTTTAGCCATAGTTTCAATTGGGTTTTTCGCATGTATAGGGTACTTACCTTCTGGAGTAAATCGCCTTGGCAGCACTTTCAACCAAACTGTCTCCTTGCTCCATCCCCTAGCATCCCCTGCCATACAATAATACTGTCTTTCATCCTCACGCGACACGTTCAAAAGTAGCAGTTTCGCGCAGTGCCATGGCGGTCTTTTGTTATCGCAAATGTAGTCTCGCTCCAGTCCGGAAGGTAAAACTTCAATCGAGTTGTTCTTTTTTGGATTCTTCACTATCCATTGAAAATGAGGCAAAGCGTCGCAGTATCCTCTACAAGTGAATGTCACATTGTCTCCTTCGTATGCGGTTATATTTTCCATTTTTTGCAACACTGGTTTTGTGAGTATTATTTCTATTGTTGGAGAACATAAAAAAATATCATACGTCAACATCACCGCGTTAATTGTGTTGGAAATGAGACAGAAAATACCACGATCCTACCTTTGACTATCAGGTCAAATGACGCGCTAACATTTCCAAGTTTGTTTGAAACGAAGCACGTGTATTTTCCATCGTGTTTTGGTCTCAGTGATTCGAAGTTTAAGATAAAATCACTCGGTTTTATCCGCGTTAAACCATCAGGCATTCGTTTAAGCTGTTTACCATTTTTGTACCAGGCGATTCTTGGCGATGGTCTGCCGGAAGCCGAACATGTGATTTTGAATTTGTTGCCAGCGGGGATCATTATCATCTTTTTCGTCATCTTCTTTGGTTGCGTGAAAAACGGTTTTCGATCTAAACGTTTGGGAAAAGAAATTCAGTTCGTCATGATTCAAAAATCGTGACCTTTGCACATTTCAAGCATAAAATTTCTTATATAAAAACACTTCAAGTATAAAAGCCTCATGATTGAGACATCCACTGACCATATGAGCCTGCACTAATGAAGGAATTAATATATGTAATTCTAACCTTCAGGAGAATTTCCGACTGGATCTATAAAGAATATGAAATTACGATTAGTAAGGGGGAAATGATCCGAGTTGTCAATTTGTAAAAAGTCTGAATTTCGGTTTTTATAACAAAGGAATTGTATAACGTGTCTCCTATGAAAAACTTAAAATATACAGCGTACGATATATGATGACTTTCGAGACAAGATTGCAATGCATATAGGGTGTTTCCATATCATTTTTCATTTGTGATTGTGAGAAGTCTACCAAATATGACTTAAGGATACATTATTTAATCTAACCTTCAACAATTAAAGTAATCGTTTGCTGAATTTCTCCGCCATTATTTTTCGCCCGACAAACGTACTCTCCGGCGTCGGAATTCTCCACATTTTTTATCCTCAAATAACGGAATTTCTTGATTCGATATCTTTTTCGTTTCGTTATCCGTTTCCCGCCTTTTGTCCACCAATATTCTGTATTTACGTCAGCGATCACGCGACAGGGAAGCCTGACTTCTGATTCGCCGAGCACAACGGTCGCGTTTGACACGTCACTCTGGAAGGATGGTGGCGGGGATGCTGAAAGTAGATTAAAATTTACTGACCCCCCTGACATTATTTCAGAAAAGTTGGCAAAACAGGAGGGGAATTATGAGGGAAGTAGGCCAGTTTAGACTTGCAATTTTTGCTGCGATTTTCGTCTTTGAAGATGGAAACGAGTAAAAGTTACGAATGCTCTGATGTATAAGGGCTCTATTGAATATCAGTAACTAATTCACTCGTCACATTTTTCATTTTTTGCAACACTGGTTTGCGAGTATTATTCTATAGTTGGAGAACATGAAAAGTTAATATCGCACGTTCGGACCACCGCGTTAATTTGGGGAAATCAGAAAGAAAATACCACGATCCTACCTTTGACTGTCAGGTCAAATGACGCGCTAACATTTCCAAGTCTGTTTGAAACGAAACACGTGTATTTTCCATCGTCTTTTGATCTCAGTGATTCGAAGTTTAAGATAAAATCACTCGGTTTTATCGCCGTTGAACCATCGGGCATTAGTTTAAGCTGTTTCCCATTTTTGTACCAGGCGATTGTTGGCGATGGTCTACCGGAAGCCGAACATGTGATTTTGAATTTGTTACCAGCCGGGATTATTATCATCTTTTTCGTCATCTGTTCCAGATGCGTGAAAAACGGTTTTCTTTCTGTAGGTTTAAAAAAAATGAACTGTTATGATTAAAACATCGTGTATGGAAACCATACAACCGAGTGTAAAACAAGACCTAATAAGATTGGAAGAAATGAGTTTTTTGAAATTTATTCGCAAAGCGATTTATTTTGTCTTTTCTCGGTAGCGAGTAAACACATACACACTGCATGGCATCGTAGATGATTCATGGGATAAAGTACGGCCCTTATTTAGAGCTATCCAATGTAAATATCAGTATATACACTACAGCTTTTTTATTACTATTATTATTTCGTTATTATTAGTGTTACCTTCAGTAGTATTTTCTTTGGCTGGATCTATGAAGAAACAAATTAAAATTAACAAGGAAAGTGTACAGTCTTATCTGTTCGTTGTTATTTTCTTCTAATCAAATTCGTCTTTTAAATTTTACCTTTAACAATGAGGGTGATCGTTTGGTGACTCTCTCCGACATCATTTTTCGCCCGACAAACGTACTCTCCGGCGTCAGAAGCTCCCACGTTTTTTATCCTCAAATTATGGAAATAAGTGACTAGATATTTCCTCGATCTTCGTATTTTCTTGCCATTCCTTGTCCACCAATATTGTGCTCCCATGCCATTAGACACGCGGCAACGAAGCTTGACCCGTGATTGGCCGAGTAATGCTACCACGTTCGACTTGTACTTATAGAGTAATGGTGGACTTACTGGTGTACGTGTGAATGCTGAAAATTAAAAGAAATGGCCAAACAAATAAAGTTCACTAACCCCCCGTAACGGATATTTAGGCAAGGTAGATGGAACGGGGGGAGAACAGAAATAAAACAAAGTGGGCAGTTTAATGATCTACATAACCTCTTTAGACCGCTCGAGATTACAGTCTTTCCTGTGGGAATAAAATTGGGTACGGGTACCAATTTAAGCCATGCCGTGCCGATAAATTGAAAGTATAGACAGGGCCGTAGCTAGAAGCTTAATTGGGGGGTGAATACAGAATATTCATATATTCGTCTTATGCCCGACTGATTTCTTTTGTACGCTATTGTTTCTACGTTATATAAACATAAATATATGAATATACACCCCCTCCCCCAATTAAGCGGTCTAGCTACGGCCCTGAGTATACAAGTATATATCACCTGATTCCACCACGAAAAACAAAGCACACAGAATGAAACAAAATCTGGCGAGCATTTTGACACTCCAAGTCTCGTTTGAGGCAAAATCTCTGTAATGATAAATTGTTAACTGAAATAATTGAGCTTTTAGCCTTGGGAATTTACGTTGAATATTATGTCTCGTTTCGTTCACAGCTTCATTCTGATTAGAGGATGAAAACCTCATGAAAATTGCTACAGACAATATTGACTTTATTGTTTATTTATGTTATACACACATGCAGATGTCGTTGGTTAAACATTAAACCAACGGAATAACGCCAAAATTATACAGGTTTTAAAACATTCCCAAAGGTCTTACCCTATATCTGCAATTGAAAAAGTCCTACTTCTTCAATTTGAAGTCGTCGCAAGTTCCAACACGTTTATCAAGTGCTTTCAACCAAAGATGATTCGCGATATGTAATCAATAATGCTAAGCGACCCTTGTATATGTACATACGTGAAGGTAAATTGATACATCCTGTGCATGGGGGTTGGTGTTGAAAGTTTCACTCAAGGTAAAGTTCGATATTATTTCCCCTTATTGGCCTATATTACACGCGTAAAAATCATCATGTTGATGCAAGTTGTTAAAAACAGGAGTGAACAATGTTGTGCTGCACCCTGTGAACAGTATTGTTAACAATGTTGTTGAAGCTTGTTGAATCATCAATGTTGTCGCAACTTGTTACAACAACATTGCATCGTGATTACATCAACATTGATGATTTAACAAGGTTCAACAACATAAGTCAACATTGTTAACAATACAGTCAATACTGTTCCCAAGGGTGCAGCACAGCACTGATCACCCCTTATGCGACATCCTGATCAATTTTTTGTCGTGCATCCCGTCTCCAAACGACACATTTTTTGAGTTACAACTGCCAGCAGCCAGCTGGTGATATTCAAGGTGAAAATTAACGTTAGTATTCCATTTCTGGAATACTAACGTTACATCAAGGGTGAACTAAGATTTCAGAGAATTTGGACCTCAGAAAAACCCTGACATTTTGGATTTAAATCTGGTGAATGCAACTAAAAAGATTACTGAGGTGCTAATAAGATGATTTTGAGGTATTGAAAGAAGTCTTTCTGAAACAAAAGAAGTACATGCTATTGTTGTGATTACTACGCAACTGCCAGGATCATGTCTGATGTCTCAGACTCATTTCAATACCTCAAAGTCGTCTCACATTCGTTTAAATGTCGCAGAATTAAGGCTTGAAGAAACAGGAAATACAGCCAGTGACCGCTTTCCGCGGTGATTAAGGTCTATCTGAGGAAGACACCAACTGGATTATAATACAAATCAGTAAATACTTCATGTATATAACATATACTACATAAAAATATCAATTGAGAACAACAAGATATGATATATATTTGACATTTCATCGAAAATCATTATGAAAATACAGCTATACTTTGATTACAAGACAATACAATGAAATTAAACAACGTGCTCGCGATTACAATAAGTCGTATTCACGTTAATCAACTGTTAAAAGACATACCAAAAGCAATTCGTCAGCATTAATCCAGACATCACGCGGTCATCAGATATTTCTGCTTAAGTTTCATAATAATACGGAAAGAGGAAATTAACGACGACTAATCTCAAATCAAATTATTGAATAGACGTCATGGCTTGATAAATTGAGCTTGTTTACCTTCATTGACCTATATTTCTTGGCTTTTCTTTGGCAAAACCTTGACCATCAACGATTCAGAATTTGTCCCAATGAAATTAATGCCTAAGCACAAATATTCCGTGGAGTCTTGACTCGAAACGCTCAATAAACGAAGTCTCTCGCCATACCATCCCATGCTTTTGTCCTCCACGGCTTCAAATTCAACGCGATCTTCTTCCCGGACCACTTTATACTGTTTTAAGATTTTGTCGAATTTAAACCAAATCAACTTTGGTCTGTTGATGTTGAACGCCTTGCAGGTCAACGACACACTCTCTCCCTCGATCGCTTTCACGTTACGAAAATCTTCCAGAATAGGCCTTGCTCTTTCTGAAAGCGATAAAACATTGAGCTAGTTACTAAAACGTAAGTTTAGCTAACTACACTAGGTATTCTGTGTCGCTATTTTGGAAAAATCTGGAACATTCGAAAGTAAAAAGTCAATTGATTTGCCAAGGAAAGGTGATTATTTGGTATTGTCTTGTAATTGTTAGTATTTGAATTAAATGCAATTCTTATCGATTTGTTCTCTTTGTTTGACCATCTTTTAAGGTGATAATATTTATGATTTAGGTTTAAGTCTTGCAAGTGACCCACTTTTCTTTCGCCGTTTCTTTGCCCATAAATGCTGAATTTTCTCATGCATGCCGTATAACTTTGAGGGCTAGCTGTTTACACGATCCCACTCAGCCGAGATTCAACGAAGCATGAGATGACTTTGAGGTATTGAAATAAGTATATATACACAATACTGGCACTGGCTGGCAGTGGCGAAGTAATTCCGACAATATCATGTGTTTGTTTGATCTTATAAAGACTTATTTCAATCCTTCAAAATCATCTCACGCTTCGTTGAATCGAGGTAATTGAAATCGAGGTTGAAATTCACAAAAAAATCGAATACTCATGCACTCTGTACAATTGTATATAAGGCCTTATTCATACCTTGTGCGCGTCGAGTTCAATTCGAACAAAAGGTAATAAGATAAGATAATAATAAAGGTTAATAATGTTTAATTATTATCGCATTATCTGTTGTTTGAACTATGGGATGCGACCAAAATGAGACATAGAAAGTTGGTCCAAGCTATTCACATGAATCCGACGACATAATTACCGTTTCCATTGTGTTCATACGTCATGTTTATAGATTCGTAGCGACCTGACAGATTACACTCATATGCGTTGGCGTCGTTTGGTCTCACAGACTTCAAAGCAACGGTAAGATGTTGGTATTGTTTGCCTCGGTTGAATTCAGGCGTTCCTGCAACGGAGACAGAGCAAGCCATCTTCCTACCAGGTTCTTCTGTTTCATCATCTCTCTCCAGTGGTTTTGAAATTTCTAAAAAAGTTGTGATAAAACTGTTCGAATGCATTTTTGGGCTATGAAACCGCATATTCTTGGGCTTAGTTTGAGATCTACTGTGTTTAAGTCTATTTTTTCGCCAAGGATAGAATTTTGCAGAATTCTTGCATTCATAATTGTGATGATGCTACCATTAGTTACCAACCCAGCAACTTGCAAAATTAGCTTGACCAGGGTGGGAATTGAACAGGCGACCTTTGGTAATTTGGGTCCAATTGAACTACCAGGTCAAGACAGTTCGAATACAGTCTATCTAACTTAATCTAGTCAATTACAAACTCACTCACGAACCTGAATCGACAACTCTTAAGAACGCATTCCTTGAACCTTGTCCAACATGATTTGTGATCAAACAAGTGTACATTCCTTCATCTTCTTTTGTAACGTTATTTATGTATACCCTTGACCCGTATTTTCCGTCCTTTTTTTCGACGTCAAACGCTTTATAATGTCGATGATTAATCAATGTATAATACGGCGAAGTGGTGGATGGTATTTCTGCAAGGTTCAACTCCGGGTAACTAGGAGGCAGCTTCTTCCAGTGAAGCCAACGATAGTCGGTCAACATCGGGCTAAAGAGCTCTATACATTGAAATGTCACGTTGTCGCCAACATGAACAGTTTTGTTGACGGGGAAATGAGTTGATAACACTGGACGTATTGGTCCCTTTTCTATAAAAAAAAACACAGCATTATTGCAAGAACGTGTGAAAATGTAGTAACTCTTGAGATACGGATTTCAACATTATGCAAGAACATTTAATTAAAAACATTATTTAGTTCACACTCCATTAAATCTACCCACCTATTACTTTCAATTTGTATTCACGTGATATATTCCCCAGTCTATTTGACACGATACATTTGTACACGCCATTGTCAGATATAACGGCTGTTTTGATAATCAAATACCACTTCGTACCGTCAACCCTTTGGTAGAATAATTTAGAAACAAGAAGTCAAACGACTGTTATTTCATTCTTTACTTGACTTGAAAATTGATTTGAGTCATTTTTGTCAAATTGACAGACGAAGGAAGATGTTATTTTGACTAAAACAAATTCGTCTCGGGTTTTTTTCAGCCATATTCACCTCGCCTTCTCTGAACAGTTGTTGAATAAACGAATATGCATGACAGTCTTTCGTCTCGCTAATTTTAAAACGCAACTGAGTATTATCTTTCTCTAAATGAAGACCATATTTAATACTGCAACTATAAATCCAGGACATACTTTGGATCTAAGCCACGATATGTCAGGACTTTCCCGTCCTTCAACCACTGATATTTCAAGGGAGGCTCTCCATCAGCCGCACAGCGTAATTTCAGATCATTCGACGCTGGCCAGGCGATGTACTGCCTCGCAGGACTCAGCTTTTCAAACCACGGCGAACCTACGCGAGAAAGGGTCTGATAATAAACTTGCACGCTTTTGAATTTTATCAATTAATGTCAATCAATCAAGTTAGTCATGGTTTACACCATGTAATTTATTAGATTTCTAAGTTTTCGGCCCGTGAGCTCGGGCCATCATCAGGGAAAAGTTCAAAGAACATAATTCAAGAGCAGTACTAGTCGCAACCAAATGACCATCATATAAAGCATTAATGACTTACTGAAAATATAGTTCTGTAGCGCCTTTGCGATACATTTAAGAATATAAAAAACTAAGAGCATTTGCATCGCTTATAATTTTGAAAAGGTCTTCGTCACTGTAAAGGCGGATTGGTTAAAGCACTTTGTGTATATATATAGTTTATTTCATATTAAAGAATAAATAATTTGAGTCATTTGCGTCTTCATGCTAAATTTAACTGTAACAGTCTGCATAAAATTTAAAATGAAGTTGCTCGTTTGCTAACCCCAGTACTAACCTTGTCCGGGTACACCACGCGCCTTTAACTGACCTAAAAATATTCAATGATGGAGTATGAAACCAATATTGAACATCGTATGACTTCAGTATTTCTTATGATTTCTTATGACTTATCATACAACTCACCATTTAACTCACCATACAACTCATCATGCAACCATACAACTCACCATACAACCACACAACTCACCATACAACCATACAACTCACCATGCAACCATACAACTCATCATGCAACCACACAACTCACCATACAACCATACAACCATACAACTCACAATACAACCATACGGCTCACAATACAACCATACAACTCTCAATACAACCATTCAACTCACAATAAAACTCTCAATACAATCATACTTATCATACAACCACACAACTCGCCATACAACCATACAAATCACCATACAACTCACCTGTGACTGTTAGATTCATTTGTTTACTTTCTGTGCCATATTTGTTTCTAGCCACACACTGGTACATTCCAGCATCGCGGATTCGTACGTTCTTGATTCTCAGCATGCTCGTCACCCCATCACGCATTCTAAACCTCGACTTTCTTCGAACCCGAACAACAGCGCCGTTTTTGTACCACGTCATTTTCCAACCGTTCTCCCAGCGGTTGAAATTGCATTTTAAACGAATTCTTTCCCCAACTTTCGCCGAGTAAGTAACTGTCGATTTGTCAACTATCTTAGGTTTTCCTCCTGAGGTAAACAGAATTCCTAGCTAGTTAACCACATTATTCGAAAATTTACCCAATATCCAGTCCCTTATATTGCCAAAACTTTCGCTTGTCATTTTTAAATTCCGCTTATGATTGCCTTATTCTAATGCGTTCTCAGCTGCCCCAACGACTGATAGGATTACTACACCAAGTCTTGCGCACTGCTGACAGTGGATATCGCTAATTTTAATCTATTACACGACGCCATACAAAAATTATCCGATTATATCCTATGTTGGGGATTATCCGTTTTTTATGCGCAGTACACGCACGTAAGGTCTAAATCTTTACTGATGTCATATTAACTAGATAATAATCGAAGAAACTTAGTTCTCCGAATATTTTAGCATGCATTTGTTGCCCTGTGTGTTAAATAGTAAAAATTAGGAGCATTTAATTTTCCCGCGCGCAAGTGGAAGGCATCTTTATACAACTTGACGGAACTCCAAAGCAATATGCGTTGTAGCTATCCTGTAACGAAGTCTATTCTTTCAGTTTAGTCAATGCATATAATGTACTTTAAAGATGTTTCCTCCATTCAGAAATTGCCCTATTGCCCTTTTGAGCAGCAATGGTCCAGTTGGACATTCCCCCTTTGCTTTTTGTAATGACTAAACTGAATGGACCGCTACTAATCCGAACTTTTTCTTATATAGTTTAACAGAGATGACAGAGGAAAGTCAACTTTGTTTGTCGATATGCTACACTACAGATCATTGTCAAAAAAGATGTTTACTAAAAGCGGATTCATTTTCTTCAGGAAATTCTAATTCCATTTGTTTCCCGTGCAGATTTTAGCAGCATAAATAAACCATAAAGTAAATTACCTGATGATTGAACTTCCAGGAAGAACAAACCGCAAAGAATGAGACAAAATTGGACCAGCATCACGACACTCATTTAAGTCTCGTCTGAAGCGAAATTTAAAATGACCAGATTAGATACAGTAATACAACCTGACGCAGAGGTTTAACCCAAGCTTAGCGGGTTTATTATTGAGAATCTATAAGTTGAATATGAAAGCTGCATGTCTCGTGTTAATGGGGACTTTAAGTTGCGCGGCTACCATGAGACAACGGACTACAGGGTGTCCAAAAAAATCAGCAATTACAGTTTATTAATTAAAAACATACACAATGTCTTACTCTGGTTGAAGTCTTGAAGAAATTTCACAGCTTTATTTTGAAGTCGTAAATCGCAGCAGGTATATTTGAACTGCTTCTCACCAAAGCTGATTCGAAATGTAATCGAGAACGCTGCGCGCAATCCCTTGTATACGTCGTGGTAACTGGTAAATCGATCCTTTCAGGAAGAAGGTTGTCGTTGTACATCCTATGTACGTCACTATACATACCTACTGTACGACATTTTTAAAGAGTTACATGCAGTTAGTGATAGACTGATAGTCAACTTGAAAGAAACCCTGAAACTTTATACGATTTAGCGATGCTTATAGTCGAATGTTTAGGAGTTTTTCAGCATTGATAGCTATGTTGTATGTTTCATTAGTGCTAAAATAGAATTTCAAGTAATAGAATTTCGAGCTCATAAAAGATTCCTGATATCGACAGGATGGATTATGGATGTGTAATCGAAACTTTAGCTAATCTTTCATCATAAAAAAAGTTCTGGCTCTAAATCAGGTGAATTTAACTGGAGAGATTATTACGTCTTAGTCTGGAATAGTGCCAGACGGCTTTTAACGCTGATCTATATGAGAGGGCAAATATCTGGAAGAAACAGGTGATCGTCAAATGCCGATGACCGCTTTTCGTGGTGAACTGAGAAAGAAACTAAACTAAGGCGGTTTTCCACTTGGCGGAATTCTTCGACCCAACGAAATTTTTCGCTCGATTTTCTTTTCAATTGTGACCGGTGAAGGGAATGCATTCTTGAAAACGCAAGAATATTCTTACGGTTACGCGTATCGTCCACACGTATCCGGCGTTTTCGCCCAATGAAAACGGAAGAATCTTAAAACGCTCCAGAGTGAAAGAATTTGAAAACGACGGCTGAGCGGATACGTGTGGACAGCTTTGCCGGATACATTTGGAAATGATGACGTCACGTATAATCATTTACGGAAATATTTTATGCGAAAAACATGTCCAAAATGTCGGAGTATATTTATAATCATTTATTCAATTATACACCGATTAAATTGTTTTTTCAATAGTTTCCGGTTGTCAAAATAAGTTCTCACAAAAGGTTTGCTGATATATGGTTCGAAAACAAAGTTCGAGGTAAAGGGATGTATTCGACCAAGGGAAAACAAAATTTATTGAGTAAAGCAAGTTCGATTAAAGCGGAGTAAATAACTATAAGAACAGTGTCAAATGCCAGGGAAATCAGATTCGAGTTAGCAAAGAGTCCGAGTAAAGCAAGTTCGTATTAGCACAATTAATACGGAATATACATGGTTTAGAGATCACATAAAACTACAATACAACTCATTAACTATGTTGAGGTAGATTTATGCAAAAATTGTTCCTTTCTCATCACATGCCTATTGTATTTTGCACAGATTTTGCAAGTCAAGATTAATGAGCTTAGAAAGACGAATGCTATTGGTAAATTTGGCTAAAATACAATAGACAAGTGACGAGGAAGGAACCATTTTTGCATAAACCTGGACAATAACATATATAGTTAATGAGTGGTATTGTACTTTTATTTAGTCTCCAAACATGCATAATTCTATTAACGGTGGTGTTAGCCGGTGATTACTGTACATACATAAAAATATCATTTCAAAACGATAAGATATGACATTCAAACATTTGACATTTCATCAAAAATCATCATGAAAATACAGCTATACTTTGATAACAAGATTATAGAGTCAAATTAAACCACATGTTCGCAATTACAATAAGTCATGTTCACGTTAATCAACTGTTAAAGGACATACCAAAATTCGTCAGCATTAATCCAGACATCACGCGGCCATCAGATATTTCTGCTTGGTTTCAACGGAAAGAGGAAATTAACGACTTATCTCAGATCAAATTATTGCCATAGACGGCATGCTTGATAAATTGAACTTATTTACCTTGATTAACCTATATTTTCTTCGCTTTTCTTTGGCAAAACCTTGACCATCAACGATTGAGTATTTGACCCGATGATATTAATGCCCATGCACAAATATTCCGTGGAGTCTTGACTCGAAACGCTCAATAAACGAAGTCTCTCGCCATACCATCCCATGCTTCTGTCCTCAACGGCTTCAAATTTAACGCGATCTCCTTCCAGGACCAATTTATACTGTTTTAAGATTTTGTCGAATTTAAACCAAATCAACTTTGGCCTGTTCATGGTGAACGCCTTGCAGGTCAACGACACACTCTCTCCCTTGATCGCTTTCACGTTACGAAAATCTTCCAGAATGGGTTTGCTTCTTTCTGAAAGCGATAAGACATGGAGCTAGCTACTAAAACTAAAGTTCATGCAGGTAGCTGAACTATACTCTATCGCAATTTCGGAACATTGAGAAGTAAAAAGTAAACTGATATTCGAAAGGTCATTATGAATTAATTCGACCTTTGGTACTATCATTGATATTATTTGGTATTCACAATTGTTTTTTGTAATACAGGGTGAGTCAAAAAAAAGTCCCCGCTATTGAAATGAAGCTTTTGTTGGAATTTGAATGCATGATCAACGCAGTAGTGTGTAAATAGCATATTTATTAGGTTGAGGCATTCAAATAAAGCGTTTTGCTTTCAATTGGGTTTATCATAATATTAAGGCAATCAGATTCGAACAAAGGCTTGATTTCAATAGAGGGGACATTTTTTGACTCACCCTGTACAGGGTGTCTCAAAAAAACGCAACCACTCAATATTCTAAAATTCATATTGTTTATAAGCTCAATAGATTTTATGCCCCTGGGATTTTAAAATGGCTTCTAATCGTACAGTTTAACTGCTAATAGTCAAATCAGCTAAACTAATAATGGTGCAGCTAACAACCGAACAACGAGTTTTTATTGTCAACCTTATAAAATAAGTTGTAAGTAAAATTTTACTCGTTAAATACTTTCAATTCAGCTCGTTGGTTTACGCACCTGACTTTGTTTACCGACGATTGTGCCGCTAGAATATGATTACAAGCTTTCTCGCATTCCAGGGGCCAAACGTCTTTTGTGTTGTAGAACAAAGAGGATATTCATGAATATTAAGTGGTTGCGTTTTTTTTTATACACCCTGTATATCTTTTGTTAGTATTTGAATTAAATCAGTGCAAGAGCGCCTGGACTGCTTGCGCTTTTAAGCTAATGATAATGACTACACGTTGATGAGTCTTGCAAATGACCCACTTTTATTTCCCCGTTTCTTTGCGGCTTGGCCTAGAATTTGCTAACCATGTCGTATGTATAACCTTGAGTAGGGGGCTGTTTACATGATCTCGCTTAGCCGCGATTCAACGAAGCATGAGATGACTTTGAGGTATTGAAATGAGTGTATAAAATGATTCTGGCAGTTGTAATCTTCCTGACAATAGCATATGCTTGCTTTGTTTCATATAGAGACTTAGGGGCTGATTACATGAGCCCTCTTACCCGAGATTCAACGAAGCGTGAGATGACTTTGAGGTATTGAAATAAGTCTTTATGACACAAAACAAGCACATGCTATTGTTGTGATGATTATACGACTGCCAGGATCATGTTATCTGCTCATTTCAATTCCTCAAAATCATCTCACGCTTCGTTGAATCTCGGGTAACCGGGCTCATGTAAACAGCCTCTGATCGAAATAATTACCGATTCCATTTTGTTCAGACGTCATGACGGTCATGTTTATAGAGTCGTAGCGATCTGACACATTACATGCATACGCGTTGGCGTCGTCTGGTCTCACAGATTTCAAAGTAATGGTAAGGTTTCTGTATTGTTTGCCTCGGTTGAATTCAGGCCTTGCTGTTGTGATCAAGACAGAGCAAGCCATCTTCCTGCTACCACGTTTTTCTGTTTCATCATCGCTCTCCAGTGGTTTTGAAATTTCTAAAAAAGTTATATGATAAAACTGTTCGAATGCAAGATAAAACTGTTTGAAATCTACTGTGTTTACGTCTGTTTTTTTTCGCCAAGAGTAGAATTTTTCAGAACTCGTGCATATATAATTGTGATGGTGCTACGCTAAGTTAGCAACTTGCCCCAGCAACTTGCAAAATTAGCTTGTGGGGATTGAAAGGCGACCTTTGGTAATGTGGGTCCAATTTCTTCCAACCGCTGAACTACTAGGTCAAGATATTTCGAATACGGTCTATCTAATTTAATCTAGTCAATTACAAACGCACTCACGAACCTGAATCTACAACTCTTAAGAACGCATTCCTTGAACCTTGGCCAACACTATTTGTGATCAAACAAGTGTACATTCCTTCGTCTTTTTTTGTAACATTATTTATATGAACTCTCCCCCCGTATTTTCCGTCCTTTTCTTCGACGTCAAACGCTTTATAATGTCGATGATTAATCAATGTATAATACGAGGAATTGGCGGAAGGTATTTCTGCAAGGTTCAACTCCGGGTAACTAGGAGGCAGTTTCTTCCAGTGAAGCCAACGATAGTCAGTCAACATCGGGCTAAAGAGCTCTATACATTGAAATGTCACGTTGTCGCCAATACGAACAGTTTTGTTGACGGGGAAACGATTGGACAACACTGGACGTAATGGTCCCTTTTCTATAAAAAAACTCAGAAATATAGCGACGTAATATATGTAGCCTTGCATGTACTAGTGGTAGCCCAAGAGTGTATTTTGTATATTTCTAATACATATCAGGATTTTTTATTCTGTATATTGCTTAATTACAGTGAAACGGTCTAGATTTAATCGAAATATTATGCCAACAATTAAATAACAACAATTGTGCCAACAATTAAACACAGTATATGCGAAAAATCAGTCTAAAGTTCAGACAATTTACTTTGATTTACACTCCCTTTAATACTCACCTTGTACAACCAACTTAAAATCATTTGATATATTTCCCAGTCTATTTGACACGATACATTTGTACAAACCATTGTCGGATGGAACGGCTGTTTTGATTCTCAAATGCCACTTTGTAGAATCAACCCTTGAGTACAAAGCAAACCAGAGTGAATAGAATAGAGTAATTGATATACGAATTCAGTTTGAAGTGAGTTTAAACAACGGGTATACGAGCTGGTCGAATCCAATCAACTTTCCTCTAAAGTGTGTGACTCATTCATCCTGATATTTATTACACAAGACTGAAATTTAGGTCCATGGAAATGATGAGAGAGTTACGCGCTAACTGAACTTGTATAACTGACTGAGTAATAAGGGTCTTGATTTGGAGTGGAATTATACTCTTGTATATATATTATATTCTTGCAGCTTGCAATGCAATTCTACTTCTAGGAGATGTAAATTAGTCAAGAGTCTTGTAGAAGAAAAGTGCATGAAGTGTAATAAACACAAAAGTTATTACGAAAGTCTCCTAGTTGCCAAACTTACATCTCTCAAAAGTAGAATTTTATTGCAAGTTGTAAGAAAAATTGCACGGTGTAATAGGGCCTTAAGTAAAAAAATAGTGTTTACTACAACGAATTAACGATCGACTGCTTATTTTTTAGCAGCTGCTTTTTAGAAGAGATACTGCTGGTGATCGGGTCTTCCCAAATAGCCCAAGCAGTAACTACATACTTTGGGTCTAAGCGACGGTATGTTACGGCTTTCCCGTCCTTCAGCCATTGATACTTCAAGGGTGGTTCTCCATCAGATGGGCAACGCAAAGTTATATCATATGGCGCTTGCCAGACGATGAACTGACGTGCTGGCATCAGCTTTGTGAACCACGGTGCTCCTTATTAATAATCTGATTATTAGTTGTTTTTTATTGTGTGGATAAAATGCAATCTACATGCAGCCATATTCGTCATCGCTTACCTTCCCCTTTTATCCCGCCGAACTTGGAAGAACCTTAATTGAAATAATAATTACGTTAACGATCAAGATCTTTCTCAAGATAGAGAAGAGCGTTCTACCCTTGCCAATGGACGACTTGCGCTTTAGAATAATTTTTGTTAGAAGTAACTAGAAGAAAATAAATCACCACAACTAGAAAGATCTTAGTTAAATTAGTGCAGATGCAAAGTTTGGCTGCGGAATTTTGTAAAATACGGAAAATATAGCCATGCGAATTTGGCAAATTTTGTATACTTTTGTATTGACATGCAGAAAAGTGTGACCAAATTAGTTACACACTTCCGGTCGTAATACAAGCTAAAATTCGTCAACTTCGCATGGCTATTTTCCGTAATTTACAACAATTCGCAGCCAAACTTGGCAGTTTTCCTAATTTTAGCAAGCTCTTTTAGAAAATGTCCTTTTTATCGCCGAGGTAAAAAATTAGTCTAAAGGCAGCGCAAGTCATCTATTCTATCCTAATTTTGTTCCATGCACAAATTAAACTCAAAATGAAATTTATTTTTCCAAATCTATTTATTTTCATGAAATGGTTAAAACTAACAAATATATATGCGTTCAGAAGCTAAATGAGGAAATTCGGGTATTGATGAATTTGAACGTCAACAAACTTACCCGAGACAGTCAAGCGAAGTCGTTTCCCAACAATGCAGTATCGACTTCTAGCCACACATTCGTAGATTCCACTGTCCTGCACCCATACAGGTTTAATCCTCAAGAGAGACACCGCGCCTCTTTTTTGCCTAAACCTCGACTTCACTCTACCATAATACATCTTTTTTCCAGCAATAATCTTGCCGTCTTTGTACCAGCTAAAACTCCAGGATGAATCCCACCTCAAGAAATCGCATTTCAGACGAGCAATGTTTCCCACTTCAACAACATGGTTATAAGGTGAAGAGTGTTTAATTTTTGGACAGCGTACTGCAAAAGAAGAACAAACCACAACAACGTAAAGATATTCTTCTTTCAAGGGCTAAGACTGGGCCAACTTCAAAAAAATAAATAATCAAAGTTAGTCTTCTCGGGGAATTTTTGCTCGATTTTTCGCCTCAGAGTTGAAAGGACCATTTATACGTCTGAATTCTTAAATCTATTCGACTTACACTCAAACTCATTTACGGTGGAAGGTCTCGACAATCACTGCAATAAGAAGTTGATTTTCAGTGAAGGTTTACCATTAAATCCTTCCACAGATTATGAAAGCATGATATCTCATCGATGCATGATAACAAAGTTTTTAAGATCACACCCTATGCGTGTGCTTGTATGGGTGAGCTTTGTGAATACAGGCGTTAGTTACGTCGAATAGAACTGATTTTCGTCTCGATTTGTTGCTACACATATGGAATCTAGTATTTTTTACCTTTGGCCTTCGCACAACAGAGCAAAGCACAGAATATAAGAAGAACTTTGAACAGCATTCTCCCAGCACGATGATAGTCCGTTCCACCTAAAACAAATTTTCTGAATTAGGCCGGCTGCTTTCCACTTACGCGGGGTTTTTTCGCGCGGAAAATTTTAAATGCTTTAAAATTTTTATTAGTCTACACTTGGGTTAACAAAACATACTAAAATATGCGGAAATCTAAGTTCTTTCGATTTGCATGTTTACCTACTTTTCCAAATAAGACATATGTAAGGACTTTACCTGCATGCATGCATGTACGTGTGTATTAAAACGCGTTAGAAGCCCTAAAAACTAAAATATATCGGTATATATGCGTGTATATATCTCACTTAATAACTTAAGGCACGATCATTATTCTTGCGCAGAATACTTCAACAAATAACCTTAGGATTGGAATATATTAGTCGATGAAACTAGGTTAATGACGTTTACACAAAGTACAGCCCTGTACGACGTGTAGTAAAGAATGTTCCTACCTGTTTCTCCTGTTTTATTGATTGAGTCTTGCCTGAACAAACGTTATATATATCAGCCGTTTCTAGCTAATGCAAATTATTTGATTTGCATCAGGTCTGCAGACAGGCTATATTTACAGTGAAGATCAGAATTCGATATTGCTGCACCTGACGCGGGTAAATTGATCTCACGTTTCCGTCTTTGAAAGCAGTGTTGAAAGTTTCGACATGTTTCAATTTAAGGTCAAGTGCATAAAAATAAAAATCCTGTAGTTTTATCAACAGGAAAATATTACATCCGGACGTATATCCTTTCTGAGGTCATGGCCTGACGCTACTGTACTTTTGCTATGGCGCTCCGATGTTTTCCCAAATTGGAAAAATTGTCCAGAATAAGTCAGAATATGTACTATAAAATCGGTTAAAGTCATATCGATTTGTTGTTAAAGGGTTATAGATGATGTTAGCCTTAGACTAAGTGAGTGCAAATCGGTCACTTAATTATATTTTGAAAGAATGACGTAAGGATTCTTGTATTTTAAACAGCAATAACAACACGCATTTAGTTATTTTGTTTAAAGATACACTGAGTATATACATAAAATTTCTGTCAGGTTTTTGAAAAGAAATTTAACGTCAACAGGCAAGCGAGATAGCCGTGCAGTTGCCAAACAATTTTAACAACAATGACATTATATTTCATTAAAATTTAAAAATAGTATACACATTTGCTTTTTATTATGTAATTCGACTTCCTGTCTGACATTCGTCGTCTGCGTGGCGTGTATGAATTTGAAGCTTAATGTAAAGGCCGGTGTCCTAGCGGATATAGTGTCCCCCGCAGAAAGTGTCCCCCCGGACACTGTCCGCTAGCGGATTATGTCCCTCCGGACACTATCCTCTAGCGGATTATGTCCCCCTGGACACTATCCGCGACGCGGATAATGCCCCCCTTCGCGAATAGTGTCCCCCCGATAAAAACAACTAAAGAAGATTTAGTTCTTTGGTCGATCACGATTACGTGATTGAAAAAGTTCTAAATTTGTATTTCGAATTTTAGTGTTATTAGTGTTTCGAATTTAAACATGTTATTACACAATATCATAACTTTAATATACGACATAAACATGACTAATGACTTGCAAGGCATTCCTCAAAAACAAAAGCGCTCATTAGCTGCACAATGGCAGGATTAATCAATATTACACAAAAGCATTTCACGAATGCCCAGGCACAATGGCTGTATGACTCACAAAGAAAAGCCGCAAAACAACTGTATAAAGAGTTGCCAGTTGCCAAACAGTTGTCCACTTATTTTCAAAAGTGATCTGCTGGAGTTTAGTATGGAGAACGAGTCAACATTGTATCAGCGAATATACGATTATCTACGAAATGAGAAATATCCGGATGAGTTTACGAAACCCCAGAAACGCAGCTTGAGAGAAAATGTATTACTAAGCAAATTTTTTATATAAAATATATTTTCTAGCAAATATTAACTTTTGTTTTGGACCTTCACGTGGGGGACACTATCCGCGGTAAAGTAATTAAAGGGGACACTATCCGCTAGCGGATAGTGTCCGGGGGGACACTATCCGCGGGGGGACACTATCCGCTGTAACACCGGCGCTCACTAGATCTATGTGCTTAGCAAAAAGTCATTCGTGGCCATCGGCGTAAGCCAGTTGCTCTCGTGTGCGGGCGACTTTTCCTGCGACTAGCTTTTGGCACAATGACGAAAGTCACTGGAAAAGTCGCCCGCACACGAGAGCAACTGCCTTACGCCGATGGCCACGAATGACTTTTTGCTAAGCACATAGCTCTAGTGTGCGCCGGCCTTAAACGTTCTCACAATATATAATTAGGGATATTTATATTCATATATTGTGCTTGCAAGAGGCATGGATTCCAATTTAGCTTGATGATGTTCGGTTTGCAATCGACACACATTGAATTTCTATTGAAATATACAGATATTTTTATTGAAATATACGAATAAAATAGAGGTTTAATGAATATATGCTATATGTGTATGCAGCACTCTATAGCTTTGCTGTTTTTGTTTCTATATTCAATGTTATTTACCACGGTTCAATAGCTTGTATTCAAGGGTATACCAAATGGATAATTGTAAAAAAGACTTGCAAGGTTTATTTCTGTCCTTCTTTTTTTCAACATTCAAGCTAACTGCGGAAATAGCAGTCAACAGTTTTGGTAGTTATCATCGAAATCCCGGAAATCATGAACATTCTATACTTCGCTTGTCAATCTTATTCCCATTGTATTACTTTGGACTCCTGACAAGTCAGGAAACAAGTTGATTCAAAAAATAATTTAAAAAATTCGTATTTTCTGAAATTAATTTATTTTGTTCATTTGGAATTTGCGAAGGATGAGTATAGTGTAGGATCACATTTCGCAGGAAAGCTTTGTCAGTTTGAGGTCAACATGGTTAAAAAGTTGAAAGAAACAATTAAGCTCTTCCAGTTAGCCTTCAACTCCGAGGAATTCAATTAAAAATATTCATACCTTTCAAGGAGAGTGGCAGCAAAGAATATAAATTATAATTAAACAAATCACCAAGAGGGTAACCTTGCAGTTAGGCTTCCTGTAAGGTCAACTGATGCAATATTTTTCTAAATAATTTTTCAAAACCAATAACAACTTTATTCAATCGCATGTTCATGCAAATTTTTCAAGAGCACGAAAAACATTGCTTTCTGGATTGAAATATGTTTAGTTTTTAGGTTTCATCTAAATAAAAATAATTTAAATTTGGACAGATGGAAAACTTTCGTCTCTCGTATGCCACTTGCAACTTGCAACTGGGTCCATTTAGTTCCTTAGAAACATGATAGCAATTTTATTTAGTTGCATTTTCATGCAAATTTTCTTTCGCACGAAATAAATAAAAAATCAGAAATATCTTGAACAGGTGAAAAAAACTGATTAGTTTTCTCTTGCATGTAATAATTGAAAATGAGAAATGTGTTGAACAGGTGTAACAGGTCCTTTTGGCAGTAAGCCTACGCCGGCTACCCTAAGTAAAAGATGTAGAGCGGTTTTGAAATGGGCTGTTCTGTGTTTCTCCTGCTTTCAACATGCGACCTATAGTTCGGTATATTGTTCATATTTATTAATAAGAACATTTACGACACAAAATTTTCATAGCTGGGCTGGCTACGCCGCTGTGAACGACGCGACCATAACGCCTAGTGGGCGTCTTGTTATTATCTAAGTCGACTTCCTGCCTGACATTCGTCGTCTGCATGGCGTGTATGAATTTGAAGCTTAATGTGAGCGTTCTCACAATATATAATTAGAGATATTTATATTCATATATTGTGCTTCCAAGAAGGATGGATTCCAATTTAGCTTGATGATGTTCGATTTGCAATCGACACACATTGAATTTCTATTGAAATATACAGATATTTTTATTGAAATATACGAATAAAATAGAGGCTTAATTAATATGCTATATATGTATGCTGCATTCTATAACTTTGCTGTTCTTATTTCTATATTCAGTGTTATTTACCAGGGTTCAATAGCCTATATTCAAGGATATACCAAATGGATGATTGTAAAAATGCTTGCATGGTTTATTTCTGTCCCTCTTTTTTCAACATTCAAGCTAACTGCGGAAATAGCTTCAACAGTTTTGTTTTGGCACACATGCACACATGCATGCAATCCGTTGATATTATAGATTTTGCACACATGCACACATGCATGCAATCCGTTGATATTATAGATTTTAATTAAAACCTTTGCGGTCATGCTGTCTATAGTTTTCATTATGAAAAGAATGATTTTTAACTTGAATATGGATTAATCACAAGAAAGGAATTTTTTGGAACGTTGTAAAAATACTAGGATACCGTGGGTTTATCGCAATTTTTTGTCCATTTGGTACTGATCAATAGACATGTCATTGCAACGACATGCATGTCATTCGCTACCTGAAAGACTGATCCTTTCGAATGTGTAAAAATTTCGTTTATAGATTGAGTATAGTTGAAGTATAATCGCATTGAAGTTGGATTACATTTTTTATACACCCTGTATAATATGAGCGATCGATTCTCATTTGAGCAATAAGCATGCATATAGCCCTTTCCTGGAAAAAGGTTATTTTACGTAAATTGCAGAAATACATTTATGCCATGAAAAAGGGTATGGTGTAAAGAGCAATCGATGAGAAATACAGAGCTAAGTTTTAAGATGAATTTGCTCTAAATTCTACTTTCCAAATTCGGAATTTCCCAGCTTTAAAATTAATAAATAATGGCTACATATGGTTATTATTATTATTCTGTTTTCATTAAAAGTCTGCCTGCTAATTATCAGTCTTTCCTTAATATTCCTAGAAAAATAATTGCAGATTTCTTCGAAGTTACGAGAACGATATAGGCTACAAGGCATATTTTTTTAATCAGGGACTATATATACATATACGAGGTCACCGCTGAAGAACAGAAGAAACGTTTTTGCTAGAAAAAATTAAATGACCAAATTTCATATATAAATTGTTTATGCCATTGTTTTATTTATTTGCATTATAAATAATAAATGCGATTATAAATAATAAATTAATTCCCGCGGTCACAATAAAGGCAGGCACCTCCTTTAAATTGGAAAAGTAGTAACTGAACTCCCACGCAAAGGAGTTTAACTTCGACCACTATATGTATATATGATATAAAGCAGTTAGCAATTATTAGTGAAAAGTCGACTGAGAAAGCTTCAGAAAAAGTCATTGTTGAAATATTTAAAAGGAAAAAACTCGATCAGCCTTCCAGGTAAGCCCTGAACCCTGAAATTATAACTAGGAATTTTACTTTTCTTTATGCATTTAAGGGTTGTATATAAGTAATACCATATCTCTTTTAGCGATAGTGATAGAAATACTCAAAGTTCCAGAACTATCTTTGCTGATAGAAAATATTCGTGAACAAGAACCACCCTGCGTGTCCATGGGGCACCTACTTTTCCCTTTCCAGAACAAAGAATTTAATTCCTCTATTTTTGGAATATTTGTTTAGAGAATACAAAGCAAAGCTTTCGCTCCGTTAAACGGTCTCTCTTTAATATTTTTCGACGTGCGCGATGATAATAAAGAAATTTTAAAATGATATCAAAATGCGATG